ATAGAATTAACTACCTGTAGTAATAGAATTAACTACTTGTAGTAATATAATTAACTACTTGAAGTAATAGAATTAACTACCTGTAGTAATATAATTAACTACTTGAAGTAATAGAACTAACTACCTGTAGTAATATAATTAACTACTTGAAGTAATAGAATTAACTACCTGTAGTAATAGATTTAACTACCTGTTGTAATAGAATTAACTTCCTGTAGTAATAGTATTAACTACCTGTAGTAGTAGAATTAACTACCTATAGTAATAGATTTAACTACCTGTAGTAATAGAACTAACTACCTGTAGTAACAGAATTAACTACTGGTAGTTAATTCTATTACTACAAGTATATATATAATGCGGTAGTGGTGTAGTAATAAGAGCGCTCGCTTTGTAAGCGAGAGGTTTGGAGTTCGACACCCACCACGTCCCTGGAAGTACCGCGCTCAACTTAATTCAACTTAACCGTTCTGTAATAAACCACTACCGCATTATATATATAAATACATATATATATATATATATATATATATATATATATATATATATATATATATATATATATATATATATATATATATATATATATATATATATATATATATATATATATATATATCCAAAAAGTTAAAAATGAATAATAAAAATGAATACACCTGCACTTAGCATGCCACATCCACATCCAAAATCAGCTACAAGTTTATTACAAACATCATCAAATGTTTGATCCATGGTATATGCCATGTGTGATGCAATATGCGCAGAAGTAGCATACTGTTCCAGATTGATTTTAGGTGATAAGAAGCCATCACACTGCTGAAGGTATCCTTCAAGTTGCTTAAGTCTCATTTCAAAATCTTAATTTGAACTTTTTAGTAAAAAAAAAATTGTTTGATACCTTAAAAATTAAAAATGGTAACATTACTTTTTTACTTTATTTATTTCTTACCTTACGCATATTTAAGTTTATCAATTTATCCCTAAATAATTTAGTTACTTAAAACTGAATTTATTCGGCGCATTTATTATTAAGTGCAGTGGATGCATATACATTAGTGTGGAGTGAAAATAACTTTTTTTAGAAGTTCAATTATTCTCTCTGATTTCTATATTATAGGAAAACTGAAAAAATGTGAGCAAAATGGGACAAGACCTGTTACCCCTGTTACCCATGAGTTTTTGACTAATAATACTATTGATGGCACAAATTTTACATTTTCTTTTAAAGCTTCAAATTGATAACATATTCGGTACTTTTGTATTATTCATAAATAATAACAAGTGACCAACATAAGTGACCAACATTTGAGTTATTTACCATTCATTTGATTGATTTTATTTGAATTTAACCAGTACATTAAAAAAAAGAGAAATTTCTACTTTAGGGCACTTTAGCTAAACTACATATAAATTATCAAGCAAAAAGACATAATAATATATAATAATATAACAAGACACAATAAAACATATATTATAAATTTGCAGTAACTTTCTGAAAAAACTGACAAAAAAAAATGAGCAGCTTCATCAGCTGCTCTCAAAAATTTAGGAAAAATGCAATATACAAATTGCGATATAATTTACATGACAAAAAAAGGTTTTAACTGTTTTGAGCCGTGCAAAAAGCTGCAAAAAATTCCAACTGCAAACAAGGAAAAAAAAAAAATCAGCTCTATAAAGACAAACTAGTAAAATTGTTTGATCTGCTTGCCAATGCAAAGATTTAAAATAATACAGCTGTTCCAAAGTTAATATGGGACCAAATAAGCAAACCTAAATTGACTATTGGATCAATAGACAAAGAAATTACAGCAAACAAAGCTCAAACCTTACTGATGCAGTGCCACCAGACTCTGTGATCAAACACCTAATATACCAAATCGGTCAACTATTGATAAAAATTTCAGCTCATTTCAGCATCATAATCATCATCATCTTGAAATCAGATGCAATTGTTTCTCCCTTTTCTTTTAGTGATCTGTGATCGTCATGTACCATATCCTTGACTTAGGACCTAGAGGAGGCTACTAGGGGCACTGCAATCTTTTTAGTGGCACAGCTGAAGCATTAAATTTTGTAATTCTTCAGTATTCTAAAGAACAAAATATTTATTCATTTAAAACTGGAAACAAGAGTGGTGTTATTAGATTGAGTTAATCCTTAATGATCTCTAAATTGTATACTTTGCTTGCAACATATAAATGTAACATTTTATATGTTGCAAGCAAATTATATGTTTCTACAAGCAAATTATATGTTTCTACAAGCAATCCTATATCAAATTTGGTAACTATAGCAACATTCATTTTATTTGTTTATGCCTTAAAATGCATGTTTTGGTCACTGAGAAAATATTTCTCTGGCAATTATATTAGATAAGCAGCCAAATATCAGAGAATTAGGAATCATGCATATACAGAGAGCTTGAGAAGAAGAAAGCTATGTATAAAAACTAATAAAAGTGTGTGGTAGTTCAAAGTCTTTTAAGTTGCAAAGATTACATGGTAGTTGATCAGAGCTATTCACAGCAAACCATTAATAATGCAGCTCACTGATGAGCAATTGGAAGAGATAAAAGAGCACTAAAGGCACTTCATAACATTAATTAGTACAATATTTGCTCTATGTATGTTTATATAAGTTAATGTAGTAAATGTACCTGTTATCCTTTAACCTATTAATAGACTAATAATAATAATAATAATAATAATAATAATAATAATAATAATAATAATAATAATAATAATAATAAGGCATTTAATAAAAAGTATACTACAAACCATTATTCAAATTAAAAAATTTCCAATGTGCAAAATTCTGAGAACTTATGTTTAATCACTGAAAGGGGGAATTTTTATTCATCGCTGAAGAGGGGGGTAATTTTTATTCAGTTTTGCTCATATTAGTCTAATTTTTTGAGTTTTTCTATAAAAACCAGAGAGAATAATTTAATTTCTAAAAAAAGGTTTTTTTACTCAACCATAATATATCAACAGTTTTTTTAAGGATGCAGACAGAAAAGTGTGCATACATTAACTAATTTTTTCAGGGAAAAGTTGGTTAAATTAATTTAGGGATTTAAATTTAAATAATTAAAAGAAGTCATTTTAAATATTTCAAATCTGATTTTACTTTTTAATTTTAAAAAATTTCAGATATAAAGCAACAGTTTATAGGAAAACTTTCAGACAACCAGACAAAAGAGTTAACTCAAAGCTAAAGTCTAACTTTATATATTGATATTAAAACATACAGTTAGCTAATACAATTATATAATATAACTACTTATTTAGTACACAGTACTTTTAAAATTTTAATATAAATATAGATTAAAAATCTTGTCACATTTATGATACACTAAAGTGTCAATTACTTTTAAATAAATATAATAACATAAATATTTTAAATTTCTACAGATAAAACTCATGTCATATTAATTTTCTCTAATGATTGTTTGCAATATATTTCCAAGTCAGACATCTCCAATGTCATTTCTTTGATAATGCTAAAAATAATTTTAGGAAGAACTTTTTCCAACAGTTGTTTTCGATGCACCGTTGCAGAGCCATTATCATTTTCTGAATTTGATGATAAAGATTTAAAAGAAACTTCCTAAATAATTAAAAAATATATATATATATATATATATATATATATATATATATATATATATATATATATATATATATATATATATATATATATATATATACACACACAGATGGCAATCATCAGCCATTAATACAAATAAAAAATGTAAACAAACTGTTACAAAAACATAAAAACTTCTGTAGAATGAGTTCAATTGTGATAAACAAATCTGAGTAAAAAACAATACAAGAAAAAAAAAGCGGTTATAGTTTACTAGTCTCCTATGTCAAATAAAGTTCTTAAAAATTTTTTTGAATGCTGACAGAGATACAATTGGGTTATTTTTATACAGTAGTTATTTACCATTATTTGATAAAATTACATATTTTTCACATGATGAACATCAAAAGCTGATGATCATCAGAAAAATGTTGTTGGTATGGTGGGATTATAAAGAAATTTTGTATTTTGAGTTTGCCGAAATACACAATCATTTATTTTGAGCTTGCCACCTAATAAAACAATCAACTGTATACTGTAAACAACTAACAAAATTAATTGAATCCTTGCAACAAAAACATTCAGAATTAGTAAATCTTATTATTAACATCCAGAATTAGTAAATCTTATTTGGTTAATATTTTTGTTTTAGTAAAACAAACCCTTTGTTAATGTAATTAAGGGGGGTCGTTCATAAAGTACATTATCCTATACTCATTATTTTTTAACCCCTTTCCTCCTGTCATAAACAATCACATTACCTGAACCTCCTCTCCCTCCTAAACTGTGATAACAGTTTTTATATCAAAAACCTTTTAAAAGATTTAAATGTAAATACTTTGCAGCATTTTAAAAATTTAACCTAATGAAAACAAGGCAATACGCATAAACTTAAGAAGTGCAAGTAAAATTTTCAACTAACTGAACATTTTCTTATTTAAATGACTTAAAAAATATTAATAAAGTTGTCATACTAAAAAATTTTTAAAGTTGCATTTGGTCTTGCAAAAAAACTGATATCATTTTAATATTATTGATAAATGTTTGAAAAATCACTCAGGAGAAGTGCCATCAAACTTTCAAAACTGCCTTTCTTAATTACTTTTCATGAGTTTTTCAATTCTTTTGTTATATAATTCTAAAAAATCTAACTCCTAATAATAGATATAAAAATCCACAATAATAATCGCTCAGTAACAAAAACTTAATTTTTGATAAATTTTTTTATATTTTTCTAATTGGTATAGAATTCTCAACATCTTGTGAAAAATTTTAATAAATGGCTTTACTGATTCGCAGAAATCTGACCAATAAGTTGAAGCAATGTTTTTTCTGCATCACATAAGTTAAGTGGCATTTTCAGTTATAACTTCGCCCTCTTTTGGCCAGACTCAAAAATTTTTTAAAACTATGGCATATAAAATTCGCTGAGTGGATACACACGAGCAGTGAACGCCTGAGGGAAGAAATGAAGTACATTAGAATGAAGGAGAATTATTTTTGAACAAAGCATATTTTGACAGTTGTCAAGACAAAAATAAAGATTAATAGAGGAATATTTAAAAATAAATAATACAGACAATGCACCTAAACAGTACTTACAATAATAATAATGAAAAAAAAAAAAAATTTATAAACATTAATATGAACGCAGATATACAACTAATATATCACCAAACAAAAACTTATAAAACAAAAAATTTATTACAAAATAAAAAGAATACATAAAGCAATGTAAGGCCTGAGAATGGAAAAAAAACAACATTAATGCTGATGTGTAAACAAAATTACCCCGCGACTAATGCCTATTCCATACTGCAGTAAAAAAAAAAGAAAAAAATGTCGCACAAAAACCATAAAAAATGTAACTTGCATAAATGTAGTTGCATAAATGTAGTTTCTTATATCTTTCACATGTAGTGAGAGATAAGAAATTCTCTGAATAATAATAAAAGACGAAAAAAGTGCATATGAAAATTAAAACAAAGCTGAGTAATGAATGTAAGATAATATAACATAAAAATTCATTGATAATAGTAATAATATGATAATAAGCAGATAAATAAAATATTACTAAATATTGTAATAAGACTAACTAAATACTGTAATAAGACCAGATAAATTTTAGCCAAATGAGTGGTTAAAAATTTTTTTTTTGGGTGATACAACAATAATATAAGTCGTGATATAAAAACAATGTACGAAGTGGGAAAAAATATTGTTTAAAAGTAAGAAAATTTAAAAGTAAGAAAAAATATTGTTTAAAAGTATTGTTTAAAAGTAAAGTTTTTTCTACGGTCCGAATTAAAAGTAATTTATTATATCTAAATCAAAATTTCCAAAAAGTGAAGTTTTCTCTAATTTTTTTCTCAAAATTTTTTAGCTTATTTTATTTTTCAGACTAACAGGTTTCATACAAAATAGCTAAAAATTTGATTTTTAGCTATTTTGTATGAAAAATAAAAACTGGCTAAAAATCAAACACACCTGGCTAAAAATCAAAACACCTGGCTAAGAATCACAACACTTGGTTGACTACTCAGAAAAAGATTTTTAAAATGAGGTGTCAACAGGCAAGGTAAAGGAATTTTCGATTTTACTTTTTTAATTGATTAAAATAAACTGAGGTTTACTTTAATCAGTTTAGCAGTACCATTGCCATTATTACTGAAAGTCGTATCAAATACTAATGCCACAACATTGTCATTTAGATCTCAAGTTTCTAGGAGATTTAATGTTGCATTTGTTTGAGTCTTTCCTTTTGAGAGTAGGAACACCACACAGTTTTTACTCCGTGTATTATGGAGCACCTGACACAAGCACAACAAACTGTTCAATTTCCACAACTAGTATATCTTTTATCTTTTTAACATCCCACTAAAAGACTCCAAATTGAGGTTGTTTAAGCTTCACATTTTCTATAACACTCTCAGCAATTATCTGTAGATTTAATGTATTATTTCCACAAAATGTTAGTCTGAAGATATGAAAATTGTCTAAGTTTCCATCAGCAGCTTTAATTACAGCAGACACTATCTTAATCAGACAAAAGTTGTTTTACTATCAAACAATTATTTTGAGGAGATGAAGAGTAACAAATCCTGACCGTCTAATTATTGGAGGTTTATAACACAAGTCCCACCCTAAATCAACATCTACTTTAGCAACTTTAACATAAAGCAACAGCATACTTTCCTCAATATTTTGTTCTTTGCAATTAACTTCCATGTCCTCATTTTCCTGATTATCCTGTCTACTTTCTTTTTCTTACTTTTCCAAGTAGTTTACTCAACATTTTTGTATGGAATATTAAATGGAGTTAAATATTAAACATGAGTAATCAAAATAATGATAAAAAGTCTAAATTTGTTTTTTATACATGATTGTAATTGGTTTGGCATTTATTTAATAAGGTTTGCAATTATCTTAGTTGCTATTTCAAGAAACAGCTTTGTGACTATCTTAATTTTTTATTTGCAGAATCAGTTGTTTAATTTTTGATTTTGACTTAAGTTCAAGTCTGGTAATCCCAAGCAGGAGTCAATCATTGCTTTCAGCAAAATTATCAGGTATTAAATGTGCTGTTCAGCATGGAGCCTTGATGAAAAACCAGTGTGAACTAAACAAAGTCTTTTTGAATATGACCTTTTTGTGCTGCATCAAATATTTCTCAGTATTTTTACAGTCAACTTATTAGTACTTTGGTGAAAAACACCTAATAAATTTGCTGTAGTGAAATTGATGTAGTGCAGTTTTCTGTAGTGAAATTATTTGTGTTTTGGTAACACTTTCAAACTTTTTTGGACTCAAAGTTGAAATTCTCTTAGCATCAATTTTTTTGGCATTAGGTTTTTGTCCAAAAAAAAAATTATTTTACTTACAAAAATACAATCTTTTAACAGATTGCAGATGTGGTCATTGTATTAAATAATAGTAATTTAATAATAAATAATAATTAATTAATAATAAATAATATTGTGCAGGCTGTTTGTGTTCAAAATGAAAAAGACTGCATGTAAATATCTATTAGCTAACAAAAGTTATGCATTATTTTTATCAAAGTGCATTTAAATTTTATTTTAATTAACTGATAGAACATAATTGCTTAACTAACTTTATCACCTTCATCATCCCATATGAAATCTATACTACTTAATACTACTTATACTTCTTAATACTGTTATAAACTTTTAATGAGTTATTTAAGAACATTATATATTACCTGCTTCGTATGTTCCAAATGTTTCACAAAACTGTTAGAGTTTCTAAAAAAAATATTATAAGTCGTTATTACTTATAATTATAATAACATGATTATGTATCCTTTTCAGAAAAGCCTAAATTGTTCAGTATGATGTCAGATTGCTAACTTAAACTGCTGAATTATCCATTCTCATTTTGTCTTTAGCATGTGAAAGCATTACTTGGGTTAGTAAACCAATTGGGTGTTAGATATTTATTTAACAAGAAAAACAAACATACCTCATGATAAGCTCCTCAGTATAATGAGGTAAATTTCATTGAGAAGGTCTTGGCCTTCACAATTACTAGTGTGTGTATATATATGTATGTGTAGCAATTTTTGGTATTAAGTTGCTTCAAGCTGAAGTAGAGTTTATAAGAAAATAAGAGTTAACTCAAAAATAAAAAAATTTCAAGTTAACTTCTATAAAAGTTAACTTGAAATTTTTTATTTTTGAGTTAACTCTTATTTTCTTATAAACTTTACTCCAGCTTGAAGCAACTTAATACCAAAAATTGCTACACATACATATATATACACACACTAGTAATTGTGAAGAATCTAGGATGTGTAGTAATTGTGCTAGATCTAGCACTTATATACACACACTAGTAATTGTGAAGTTTTAGGATGTGTAGTAATTGTGCTAGATCTAGCTATCTTATTTAAAAAATAAGTTTTAAAAATCAACATGAATAAACCGCTTTAAATACGCCATTTTTTGTAGAAATATTATAAAATGCATTAAAAATATGTAAACAAAAGTAAAACTTTCAAGCGGTTTATTTATTTTTTCCTGCATAAAGTTAAAGTTTTCAAGCTAAAAATTTAAATGTTTTTTTTAAAACTTAAACACAAAAATATCTAAAAAAAATTTTTGATAACTGTCTATCTAAACCCAAATACTATGCAACCATGTTTTTTTAAAGCTTTTTATTTACATAAGTTCATCTAATTATATGGCTTTTATGTAAAACTACCCATTTTTGCAGGACCCAAACATGTCTAAAAAATTAAAAAAATTAAATAAATTATTTACATTTCATTATATATGAAAAAACAAGGGAAAATGTTTTACATCAACATTCTTTTTAAGAATTCACTAATTGCAACTTATTCTAGTTTATGTTTCATAAAGAATTATATGTAAAAAAAAAAAAATTAAAATAAGATAGAATCGAGAAAACTTGCAAATTATAGTTTTATAGTCTAATAAAGGTACTCTTGTTGAAGCAATTAATTTTTCTAAAAAAAATTGAAAATCGCTGTTGTCTAATATACATATATGTGTGTATATATAAGTGTGCGTATATATATTTGTGTGCATATACATATGTGTGTGAGTATTAATTTTTGAAAACATTGGTAAACTATACTTTCTTCTGGAATGGTTAAAACTGTTCAACTCATGACGATTTCTTAAGCTGCCAAATATTTTAAAAGCACGCTTCAATTCAACCTCTGAAATCTAGTATAAAATAAAGCAAAAATAAAAAAACTAACAACATAACATTATTATTGTTAAATAATAAAGAAATATGGTAAAAATAATAATAATAATACTAAAAAATAAAAAAGTTAAATCTCACTTGTTGGCTGTTTAGAGTTTTTAAATTTAAATTTGACAAACAAAATACTACAAAGTCTCTCCACAATGTCAAATTTGTAACAGAATTTCCTTTTTCAGATATTGTCAAATGATCAAGTTTATGAAGTTTTGAAAGTGCATTGATGTCATTAAAGTTGCATATATTTGTGCAGTCAAACACCAAACTCTAAACACAAAAATGCTGTTTAAATGTAACAAATGTTGTTTAAAACAAATACAAAACCCCTCAAGTATATATATATATGTAAACATATATATATATATATATATATATATATATATATATATATATATATATATATATATATATATATATATATATATATATATATATGGTCAATTCCATACATCACGCACGTCGCTTTTCAGATGTATATAAGCTTAAATTTTAAAATAAAAAAATATAGAGCACTATTAGATGCATAAATCTGTTGCCAAACATGACTTTTACAACATAATAACATAAATTCTTAACTTTAAGTATGTAAAACATTTAATTTATACATATAATGATGGTCATGCACGTCACTTGAATTGGACAAGTCATAATTTCATCATCAAAAAACACTATTTTCCTGAGCCGTTATAAACACTATCTGTGTCATTTTTAAACGCAATATACTTGAATCTATAACAAAACGGAAAATGTTAAAAAAGACACCAGAATGTGTAGTACATGAAAGTGGTAATACATTTTCCAAAATTGTGTACTTCACGCACGTCACATTTTTATCTATCACGCACGTCACATTTCAGATAAAAATGCAATATAATTTATTGTTACAGTTATAATTAATTGCTTGCAAGTCTTATGTTATTATGATATTCTATATAACATTAGTTAAATACCATAGAAATCGAAAAAGAAAACAAAAAAGACCCAAACTATTAGTAAACTTTTTACTCATAATGTCCTGATTTTGTGGAATTGACAATATATATATATATATATATATATATATATATATATATATATATATATATATATATATATATATATATATATATATATATATATATATATATATATATATATATATATATATATATATATATATATATATATATATATATATATATAGTAGTAAAAAAATTGTTAGAAATTTTTGTTCAGAAACCACATATGAGATTTAAAACTGCTATTGCACACACATTTCATCATATATTATACACATTAACATATTAGATGTTGAAGAATGTCTTTCTATTACTTTGTGTGGCCACTGGCTTTAATTAGTGCCTGCACTCGATCTGGCATACTTCTACTCAACTTGCCACATATGTCCTTGATCTCATCATCATGAAACCACACATGAATCAGACGTTCGATTAGGACTGATTTATTGGCTATAAGCACTTCATAGATTTTATCCTTGAGCTTATCTATAAGTGACTCTATAGGATTCATGTCAGGAGAACTCCCTGGTCATGGGAGTACCTCAATGTCATTTTTTGTCATCCAATCATAAACCTTGCGTGCCATATGGCATGTAGCTGAGTCCTGCTAAATAATACAGGTGCTGTCCTGGAACCAGTCACGTATTTGGGGCTTCAAACGGGTAGTGAGCATTTCAATGTTCTTTTCCGCATTCATAGTACCCTGTACAATGTGCAGACAATTTGTCCCTAGGCTACCCAAGAGACAATTCGTCTGCCAAAATTGCAGAAATGAAACCTAAAAGAACTATAGTTGCTGGTCTTCCAAAATCCTCTGACAATAATCAGAGGCTAATTTCAGTTCAAAGTATGCTCAAAAAGCTTAACTATAATGTCGCTTTTAAAGCTGTTGGGCATTTCTCAAAAAAGTTTAAAAATACCACCATTACAACTACACAACTACAATAGCAGCTGAACCAAATGAATTGATCATCATTGAGTTTGACTCCAATGAGCGCCTCAGTAGACAAATTAAAATCTGTTTACATTCATCCAGACTGTACACCTCTCGAACGAGAAATATTCAACAACTTAAACAAAAAGCGTGCTACCAAAAATGAAAAACTATTGGCAATAGATTTACTTGACAAACCCTTTCGATTTGTCAAAAACAGTCAACATCATTGGAAAAGAGAGGAACACATTCCTCAAATGGAAATCAGCAGCTGAGGCCATTAATTGCACTCAGCATCTTACTAGTTCAACATTTTTAAACAAGGCCAGCTCTTCCATTAAATTATCTTAATTATCCAATAAAACTCATCGAACTCTCCTTACTTGCAGAAAACAACTTCTTTGACATTATTTTTATAACGGAGACATGGTTTAATGACCAATCAATTCCTTCTCTTCCAAACTACAACCTCTATCGCTCAGACCGTCTGAACCAAATTGGAGGAGGTGTAGTTATATACACAAACAAATATATCTTATACATCTGAAACCAACTACAGGAATTCCTACTTCTGAATGAAACTCTGCTCCTAGGCTGCATTTACAGACCTCCATCTTCTGGTATCGAAGACTTCTCAGAGATTTCAAGTGCTATTTTCCAGACCGAAACATCAGTATCAACCAAAAAATACAATGGTATCATCATTGCCGATGATTTCAATTTCAAAGAGATTACTTGGACTTTCAGTTCAGTCTTCTCCTCAAGTAAAATCGGTCTCAGTTCTTCATTTGTCTCTCTTCTTCAAGATTATCATCTTCATCAAATTGTCACTGTCCCAACTTTCAAACCTGCTAATCGCCCTATGACAAACACTCTTAATCTCAAAATATGTGACTCTCCATATCGTGCTAACAAAATCAATATCGGTCTTTAACTCGGTTTGTCTGATCAATATCATTGCTCTATCACCTGACAATACAAACTTGCTTCCACTGTAAAATTATCGCATTTCAACAGCTATAAATTTATTTACAACCTTGGTAACTACCAAAAAATCAACTAAGATTTCAATAAGGTTGACTGGTCATCTATTTTTAAAGACTCAAACATAGAACAATGTTATCAAATTCGGCTAAACAAATACAAAGAATGTTGTCTCCAATTCATCCCTCATATGCTGAACAAACCATCCCCAAATAAACAACCATGGATGACAAAAGAACTTTTATCTCTGATTTGTCTTAAAAAATCACTGTGGGCTCGTAACCTCAGTTCAAAATGGAAAATCACATCCCTGGTTGAGGAATAAAGAGAAACTAGAAAGTTTGTTAAAAAATTAACTCATTCTTCTTTGAAATCCTTTGAATTTGCTCTTGCAAATAATTAGCACAACCCTAAAAGACTATTTTCATACATAAATAGTAAATGCTCTGTAATAAATCAGTTCTCAATTATTTTTACTTTTGTTGTAACAAATATATACTACTACTATATATATGTATATGTGTATGAGTCTATAAATATATATATATATATATATATATATATATATATATATATATATATATATATATATATATATATATATATATATATATATATATATATATATATATATATATATATATATATATATATATATATATATATATATATATATATGTATATATATATATATATATATAATATATTATTTTAAAACATCAAAAATACGATTTCTCTCAACACATAATTTTTTTATTATTATAGATAGAAATTTTCGCTGGATTTTAGATACCAGCTTCTTCAGCTTGTTAAATGTTACATTTATTAGTAAACCGTTATAATTTAAATTAAAACGTTGCTATTGACGTCAGCGGTTGAATAACTTCTTTTTCGCTGAAATTTAAAAAAATGGCGTCCAAAACTTAATTTTTACGTATTGACCCTCATCGAGATTAATCCCGCCATTTTTTGCAGAACACATGTTTTTTTGTATTTCTAGGGCTTCCCTAACTTTTCTTTCAAATTTTTTATTTTCTACTTTCAATGTTTTTGTTTGTTCCCAAATAATTTCTTTTTTGCAAAATGTTTTATGCAGAGCTAATGCAGATTGATGCTGTTTATTTTCATCAATGCTTTTTTGGTGTTGATGCATTCGTGTGTTTACTTTCATTTTTGTTTCGCCTACATACACTTTTGAACAGTTGCATTTGATTATATATGTTCCTGGTTGACTGTTATTAGGTAATTTTGATTTATTTTGTGATGTTAACAGGGATCTTAAGTTTGGGTTTGATTTGAATACCGCTCTGTAACCAGCTTTTCGGAATATTTTCCTATGTTTTGGCAAGAGACCGGGTACCCATGGTAAGGAAACTACAGGATAATTATTGATTTCAGATGGAATTGTAATTTTATTTTGTCTTTTGTGTTGAAACTGATGCGCAATATTCATCATTTGAGTTTTATCGCAACCATTTTCAATAAACACGTTGATTAGAAAATTTATTTCATTTTGCAAGTAAGACTTACTACAGATTGAGTAAGCTTGGTGGAGAAATCCTTTAAAAATAGAGTTCAAGATATTTGGATCATGATTTGAGTGTGGCTTAATTTGAATGTTAGTGATAGCATCTTTCCGATATACTCTGTATTCATACTTTCCTGTTTTTTTATTCATAATTTGTATATCCAGATAATTTAGTGTTCCTAACTCGTTTTCAACTTCAATTGTATACTTGATGGAAGGATGTTGTTGATTTAAAATGTATTGGAAATGTTTTGCTTGGTTGAGATCTGGAAACCTTGCGTGACTATCATCGACATATCTTAAGAACGATTTGAGGTTAAGTGCAGGGTTGAAATTTAGTGCAATTTTAATTGCATTGTTTTCATGGAATTGTAGAAATGATTCTGCAAGAACGACCATGAACGAAAGTCCAATTAGACCCGAGTTTTCCATTATATGAATTTCATTGTTGCAATGAAAATAACATTGAAATAAACAAAGTTCTATAAGTTGTTTTATTTCAGGTATACTTAGTCTTGTTAATTTTTTATATTGTTGTATTATTATTTAATTTTTCTATAAGTACAAGGGTGGCTTCTTTTAAAGGAACCGACGGATACAGATTTACGACATCAAAAGATACCTGAACTTCATCGTTGTCAATTTTCCAAGATTCAGCTTTTTTAATAAAGTCAAAGGAATTTTTTAATCTTGTCAAGTTTTCATTCAAAACTGGTTGTATTATCTTAACTAAGAACTCAGATATTCCGTAGTTTGCTGTGCCAATTGTGGAGATAATTATTCTCATAGGATAGAATTTTTCAGGTTTGTGGGCTTTGATTACACCATACATACAAGGCGGGATGGGATCACTAGGATATATTTTTTCGTATTCCACTTTCGAAAAACAGTTTCTTTTGTTTAGTTTTGAAAGATATCTACGAATTTTAGCCGCGTAATTTGCAGTAGGGTCTTCACTTACTATTTTTGTTGGGCCTATTTGTTCGCAAATTTTTTCCAAGGCTTTTGAATGTTCGATTCGTACAAAACCTGTCCCTTTGTCGAATGGATATATGTCAACGTTTTTTTCCTCTTTTATTTCTCTATAAGCTTTCCATTGTTCTTTTGTAAGATTACTATTTAATTTTTTTCCGGTTTTTAGTTCTCTTAAAACATTTTTCCTTAGATCTTGGGCATTTTCAATTTTATTGTTGTATTCTAATTTTAACGCAGAGGATTCCGTGGCTGTAATAATATCCATATATGGTATCGACTTTAAAGATGGTACAAAGTGTGGACCGAGGTTTAGAAAATTATTATGACTTACTGGAATGTCGGTATCGCATAAGTTTAGGACAGCATTCTTTTTATAATTTGTTGTTTTTTCGGCATTATTGTTTTTTTTTTCACGTTCATTTTGCAATATTATAATAATAAAAAAATTATAAGTGTTGAGAGAAATCGTATTTTTGATGTTTTAAAATAACATATAAATATACTCTCACACAAGATGTTATCCTTTAAATCATATATATATATATATATATATATATATATATATATATATATATATATATATATATATATATATATATATATATATATATATATATATATATATATATATATATATATATATACACACACATACAAACGTTTATCTTATTATATATTTTGCCACAGGTAGTATTTGATGTTGTTACTTTATAAAGCGAAGCCATTTTACCAAGAAAAATATGTTTTTTGTCATCTGACATCTAAATACCAGATTACAAAGGTTTTTATTTGGTGCAAACTGGGTACAAATAAATTTTTTAGCTGTTAGTTTAGAATCAATAAAATAGAATGCATTATTGTAAAATAATCCATTCTATTTTATTACAATAACAATAACAAACGGCTTAACATGTTTAGCAAAGTTAAGTTAAAATAAATAAAACACCTGTGCAGACTATACACATATAACAAATAAAGGTGAATATACTTGTATATTTTTTTTGCTTCACATTTTTGTTTAAGAAATTTTTTTTATATTTTTTTTTTTTAATTTTATTCTTTATTTTAAAGTTACAAAACAAACAAATTTTATCTCAACCTTTTCTCAACTAACATTATTGATTGAGAAACATTATATACATCTTTAAATGTCCATTAGTTGTTTATGTAATTTAAAAACCTTTCACACTATTGATTAATAATCTAAATTTCTTCAGAAATTTAGATTTTTATTATTTGCTTCTTAAAAGTATCATCATGGCAAATAATAAAACCAATGCACACTGCAATAGTTTCATTATTTGCCATAATGATACTTTTAGTAAGTAAATAACAAAAATAAGTAAATAACATTTAGTAAGTAAATAACAAAAATAAGTGATAAATAGTTTGACAACAAAGGGCTCAAAATTTAATTTTGAAAAAGTAAGTAAAACAAAAGTTTTACTAGAAAAATTAATTTTTTGAGAAGTAACCAAATTTTACCTTATCAAAGTTTTTTTCAAACTTTTAAAATATAGTTTAGTTTTCAAAAAAATGTGATAAAAATGTGACACGAAAAATATGATAAACTAAGTAGTTGCATGTATGTAATACATCATGTATCATATTCTACACCTATGTGTAATTTTTATTTTATAGATTATATACAATATGTGGGTGTGGTGAACCTTAATTTAAAATCATTTAGCCTGGGTAAGCTAAAGTTGTCTATTCATATCAGAAGTACTCTGTAAAAATAATAATTTTTTAGGAAATTATCTTGAGGTGCCTCAAGACCTTTGAAAATTTAATATTATTTTAAATTCAAAATTTTAGTTTTTAGGTTTAGTTTTCAAAGGTCTTGGGCACTTCAAAATAGTTTGCACGTTATTTGCGCACACAGGCTAAATGAATTCTAAAAAAAAATTAAAATTCATCGCACCCTAATATACATTGAAGATAAATACAATGTAAATAAAAAGTTAGTTTTCAGCATAAAACTTTAATATTGTTTATATGCAAAAGAAAAATAAATTTAAGAGGTCCTTAATGGTTAGTCAATTGTAAAACACTGCAAGAATTCCAGTGTTTATAGGGCAAAATATAAAATAGTGGGTTAACTTAAGGTTAGAAATTAGGCTGATAATTGCCTCTTTATTATGGGTCATAATATTACTTTATTATAGGTCTAATTTCAAGGTTTAATACAACTTCACATACAATATTCTGATTTTGAGTAAACATTCCTTACAAACTTACTTCTCTTAATAATATATACACCTAATTTTTAAATGCAAAACTTTTACCAAAAAAAAATTTAATCAAAAATCATTTAAATCAATTGTTATAAAACCTTATGTATCATGATGTGAAGAGCATTTTTTATAAAGAATCTGTTTGTTGAGTACACTTTCTTTGCAGTAATTAGAAAAAAATTTAAATATTATTTGTAAATTACCTTAGGACTCATAAGTTCTTGGATTGCTAAGCCAGGCCTTGCTAATAATTAAACGCAACCTGTTTTTCTATTAGTGTTCCATTTTTTCATAAATAAAGGTAATTATATTTTTGATTGATTTAATCAGTTTTTCATAAAGAATGCTTTGAAAAACTTTTTCTCAAAGCATTCTTTATGAAAAACTGATTAAATGTCCTTGTCAAGGTCTGAAGGACACTTATACTGAATTTAATGATATCCAATTTTTAATCCAGTATAATTAAACATATTTTCACTGCACTTTAAAGTTACAAGCTTGTATTGCAATTCATAACAGCAAATTAAAAAAAAAATTTATATTACTTTGACACAGGTTAAACAATTACCTTTTGGTACACCAATTTTGATTGATATACTCTAGGCGAAAGCTAACTGGTTTAGATAGGCACTTCAACATTTTACTTTTTGCTGAACTAAAACGTGCCTAAATTCTATCTACCGTAAATTGCATTTTGAGCAAGCCATATGTTTTCCAGAAACAGACTATACTGTTAATTCTTAACTAATCAAATTAAATTGTAGAATCCTGACAAAGAAAACTTGCTTAAATTTTGTTTTGAAAACTTTTAATTTTCTTTTGACTTTGCAGTTTTATAAGATAAGAGCTAATGTTTTGAAATCTATTCAAACAATTAGTTTATTCATTTATCAACATTTCTACCAAATTTTATTTAAATTGAACAGTGCGATCACTTATTAAATGGCGCGCACAACTGCATGGTCATTTGCGTCGTATAACAAACATTATTAATTGTTGTATAAAATCATTGTTATGATTGTTATTTTGGTCACAGAAATTTCTTGATTTTAATGGAATTTTTTCACGATGAAAGTATACATGAAAAGATTTATAACTTTTGAACCCTTCTACCTAGAATGATGAATTTGGTATCAATTTAACATCATTAAACAGAGATTTCTAAGCTCTATTTAATGATGTAATTTACATTTAAATATAACAATTTCTAAAAATTTATCAAAGTACCTAGTTTAGGCAACTTACCTAGAGAATGAAAGCTCAAATTTAATTGTATGTAATAGTTAAAGAAGCTTTTAAGCCTTATATGGTAATCTTCCTAGTAGAAGTATTTACAATAAAAATACGCAATTCTGATCTGCAACACAGATTTACACCAAGATGGATATCCAACTATAACAAATGGCCTTAACTTATCCCTGTCATATTTAAATAAAATAACATTAAGTAAACCAGTCCAAGCCACACTAATGTGGAACCATAGCCACTAAACTATTTTTTAAAAAGCATGGCTCTAATAAAATAGCACATTTTCTTTGTTAGATTTGAGAAAATGCCATCATTTATTTTTAAATTATGTTTTAATCAATTTTCAATTAATGACATTTTAAAGCTCTTTCAAAATAAAATGAAAGCATTTTTTTTTTTAAGTTTAATACCCATGGTTCCAGATGGTTTTTATAAATAGAATAGAAAGAAAAGTTAAAACAATTCTTATAATTAAATGCCCTATTTTTTAATCTTATTCACCTTCCCAAGGCCAAGAGGGCTGCTACAGTCAAGGAGGCTACATTTTTTGTGGTTACAACCCTCTGTCAACTCTTTAACTCTGAAACACAAGCCTTGACAAAAAAAGGCCTCAGCACGGAGAAACAAGTTGAGCGCAGTACTACATGGTGGGGATCAAACTCGAAACTTCTCTCTTATGAAGCAAGCGCTCTACCACTAATGCATTAAATGTTAAATTGTTTCATTCCATACTGTAAACTATCAAACATTCCATACTGTAAACTATCAGGATTTATTAGAAAAACTAAATTAATATAGAATTTTTAAAGAATATCATAAATGGTTGTGCCAAAAATTATTTATAAATGCATGCCAATAACTATTTATAAATGTGTGCAGATAACTATTTTTAAAATATAAGTAAGAAATTACAAAGCATTATTGGATAAAGGACAACCAATGTAAGCATCAAAAAAAAAAAGCTAAAATTTCTTTAAAACTAATAAATAATTCACTTTTATCAGACTTAATAACACACAGATACACATTCAGAAACTATAAGCATCTTTAATACTTACATTTAATGAGGGAAACCTGGTGCTAAGATTTGATAAAAATGGGCGAATTTCCTCAAATAAAATGAACCTAAATGATATGGAGATAACTAATAATGTATCAGTTCCCCAGTCTTTTTCTAATGATTTAAGTGATCCATTTCCATATAGACACAAAATATTCTCATGTAACTCAGCTAAGTGAGAAATACTTGATTGCTTCATGTCTAAGCTTCTGGAAAAAAAAAATTACCACACAAATTAGAAAACAAATTAAATATAAGTAAAAATAAGATATCATGTATATGTAAACATAGTGAGCTTAAAAATAAGACATCACATATATATAAACATAACTTAACGATTGCTACTTAGATAGAAATGTAACCATTTCAAATTAAAACAACAATGCAACACTAAGCTAAAACAAATTCTAGGCACCAAAATATCACTCTGTACAAACCAGAATGAGAAGAGCAATCAAAACAAACCTATTTATTACATTTATAATACATAGAAATTAATGCAAGATAATTTGCCAAACTGCCAAAATAATCATGAAATGGTTACAGAGCTACAACATTAAATCATTTTTGTAGCCTAAAAGTTCCATCAAAAATCTGTATTGAATAATACAGAGTTGCCCTTGCCAGTGTAACAATCTTAGATACACTAAAAAATGCATGATGTCTAAATGCAAGATATAAATCCAGAACAAAAAAACTGTGTATTTTAATTACATTGTAAATACCGTTTATGTACAAATTTATATAGTTTTTTACTAGTGTACCAAGTAAAAAAAATATATAAACTTATGAATATACAAAATATACAAACTTATACTTACAAATCAAAAGATAATAGCTAAAATAACCGACCAAAAAAATAATTATATTTAGGTGGTTAGAACCTAAATTCAATTATTGAATGGCTCATCATAAATCTGATGATGCGTGGATCATGCTATGGGGTGGATTTCTCAAATCCTGCAAATGTGAATGATGCAGACACATCTGATGAAGATAAAGATGATGACAATGACACAAATGGTAATGTCAATAGTTCAGATGAAAAGCCAATACGAACAATTTACAATAAAATATATTAAAGTTTGAGATAATATAATTATGATAATTTTGTAACATTTTGACATAGGTGTAGTCAAGGTCTATTATTCTATATATGGTGTGATTTAGTTCAAAGTTTCTATTCTCTTTATTTAATATCTGTATATACAATAGCATTTTCTTCCCAGCAAATTTATCAAAGACTGGTATACCCGTGGGTTTACTATGAACGATTACTTTGTATACCAATATATATAAAAAAGTTATTGAAAAATCATATTCAACTTGCTAGATCTTTGTTTAATCAAAAGTATATTACACAAAAAATTTTTTCTAATCGATATACAAACTTTTATATTTTCATTTGGGGGCTGTTTAAGTAGCTATTTTGAATATTGACAACCATTTTGTTGTTTCAAATAAAATTGTGAAAAATGAACTACTTGACCTGAAGAACATAATACTAGATGCAAAAACCGAAGAACATAATACTAGATGCAAAAACTTCTAATCTATCAACAAGCTGAGATATTGAACATTTTAATTTTGACGCTGTTTTGGCTGCCATCTTGAATTCTGACAACCATTTTTTTTTTCTTAAAACTAAAAATGTCGGAAATGAACATCTTGACCTCAGACAAGAATCATGTTTTTAAGTGATCGACAAGCTCAGATATTGAAAAACTATATTTTAGATTTGGATTTTAGAATAAGCTCCACTTTTTGGTGAACCTTTCTTATATGAATCAAAAGTGCATACAGAACATTTCCAGCAATTTTCAGCTTGCTCCTAATTTTTTCTGGGTCAAAACTTATTCTGACTGGGTTACTAGTGTATTTAGCCTGAAGCTTTTAACAACATTTTTAGTATATATTTAAAAATATAAAATATTAAAAATACCAATACAAAATAAAAGTAATTTTAGACCAAATATTTATAAGCTAATTTTAAATTTAAAATGTTAGGAAATATTACTTTAACAAAAATGGAAAGGTACATTTTAAAAAGTTTTGCATATTATATGTTTTAAACATGTAACATGAAACATAATTTTACCATTTATATTATATTTTTATGTTTTAATACCGTTTTAATTGAATGATTGTTTTAATAATAATTAAAAAACACAATTTTTTTGTTTTGTTGTGTTGATACACAACTGTTTACAGCTTCAACAATATAAGATATTTAGTTTGTTTCTGACAGATACAAAAGTTAGATGTGTTTTTGTGCTCAAAGATTTTCTTTATTCAAAAAAATGGATCAAAAAATTTGCAGGCACCCTAAAAATTTTTTTGTTTCTAAAACTTAAGAGAACTATGATTTTCAACAATTGAGGAGAAAGAGACTGCACTGCTGAAAAGATCAAGGCTATAACAGAAAAGTCATCAGAACTGCTTTAAGGAAAAAGAATTAGCACAAGTGCATTATATCTAAAATGCTTTTAAGAGAGACAACTTGAAGTTGAACAATAAACATTTTTTCATAAAAATATAAACTCGTCTTACTTTTCAAACACCTCATAAATTTTGAAAACAATTATTTGATAAATATCAACACCTTTAAGCTACTTAGAGGAGGTTCAGAACAAGTAAAACAATTTTTAAAATAAATTATTTGTGCAGTGTGTTTTTTTGTATATTTGTTTTACCATAACATAACAAACTGTTTATGAAACATAAGTTAATGAATGATAAATATTCCCAACTTAGTGTGGTGTCATCTTGTGACCAACATTTTTTTAATTTGCTAATATACGTAATATCTTTTTCTTTTAAGTCTTCATTTTTTAAAAAACCAAGCAACTTGATTGCGAAAAAATTCTCAAATTTGATATTTTTAATAACATAAGTAAAGATGCAGGAATATATTGAAACTTTTGTTTAGAATAAAGAGAATTTTATGTTACAAGTGTTGATACTGCTGGCATTAAGCCAGTTTTACATTTATTCCAGCTATTCTTTATTACTACTTGAAATAGAGTGCTAATTATTTTTTGAATCATAATTTGTGTAATAAGTTAAAAGAAATACTTTTAGTTTATAATCTTTTAAAACATGTTGTACATGTTGCATATGCTGACCTGAAGAACTTTCAACAACAGAAGTACAAAATATATTTTTAATGTGGTAATTGTAGTTAGTTGTAAAAAAAATGTCAAAACTATACCATAAAATTAAAAAAATTTAACTACCTATCAGATTTATTTTTTTTCGTGACCATTTTAATCCATTCATTTTCAGCATTTTTTATGGCTTTTCTTCTTTTTTCCTAAGGAAAAATCAAATCGAAAATAATATCAATCAAATAAATGAAATTAAATGCACACATAAAATAAAATAAAATTATAAACAATTTAGAAACTGATATAAGTAACATAAATGACAAAAATGTCCAGTAATTGTAAAGATAAAAAATCACACATATCAACTTAATATAAGTATAAAAGATCATAACTTTTTTGTTACCAATTAATACTGCACTAACAAATTTAAAAACTTCCAAGTTACCAATTAATACTGCACTAACAAATTTAAAAACTTCCAAGTTACCAATTAATACTGCACTAACAAATTTAAAAACTACCAAGTTGCAATTAATACTGCACAAACAAATTTAAAAACTTCCAAGTTGCAAGTAATAAACAAAACATAAGTTTTGTTCAATATTTTTATAAATGAACAAAACACAAGTTTTGTTCATTTTTTTCAAACAAAATTTGAAAAGGTTGTCTGTGTAATCTAATGTGAATATAAAATAAATAAATTCAGAAAAATTTTTTTTGTTTATTTTTGTTTTTTTTTGTTTTGGGTTTTAATTTTTCAGATTTTTATTATATCTTATAGTATAATTGCACATTAAATGAAGATATATTTTAATCTAAAAATAATTAATTTCAAACTCTAGTTTAACCTAAAAAATATGAAAGTGATAGTTTTTTTCAACTTAAGTCAGCAGTAGATATTAGAAATTCGTTACTTAAAGATTCAAGTTAAAAATTCAGTAACAGATTTTGCTAATAAGAAAATTTTTTTTGTAAAGATAAAACAGTTTGAGTATATCATACATCAACTCAATGCTTTAAGCTTAGAATTAAGATTAGATTACAAGTTTGGAGAGATTTATAAAAAATTTTAATTAAAATATTAATTATGCACTATATGAAGAAAAACAGGAAAAAATTAAGATGTTTGTGATGTTTTTAAAAATTTCTATAAATACATTTACTTACACATTTATTGTGTGTAACTTGAAAATAATTTGAAAATGAAATATAAAACTATAAGGAATTTTCTTTTGATTAAAATTTTAATTTTATTTCAAAAAAATATAAAAAAATAATAAAATTATTTTTTTATATTTTTTGAAATAAAATTATTTTTTTATATTTTTTGAAATAAAATTATTTTTTTATATTTTTTGAAATAAAATTATTTTTTTTATTTTTTGAAATAAAATTATTTTTTTTATTTTTTGAAATAAAATTAAATTTTATTTCAAAAAATAAAAAAAATAATTTTATTTCAAAAAATAAAAAAATTATTTTTTTTCTTTTTTGAAATAAAATTAAATTTTATTTCAAAAAATAAAAAAAATAATTTTATTTCAAAAAATATAAAAAAATAATTTTATTTCAAAAAATATAAAAAAATAATTTTATTTCAAAAAATATAAAAAAATAATTTTATTTCAAAAAATATAAAAAAATAATTTTATTTCAAAAAATATAAAAAAATAATTTTATTTCAAAAAATATAAAAAAATAATTTAATTATTTTTTTATATTTTTTTGAAAAAAAATTATTTTTTTTATTTTTTGAAATAAAATTTAATTTTATTTCAAAAAATAAAAAAAATAATTTTATTTCAAAAAATAAAAAAAAAATAATTCTATTTCAAAAAATATAAAAAAATAATTTTATTTCAAAAAATATAAAAAAATAATTTTATTTCAAAAAATATAAAAAAATAATTTTATTTCAAAAAATATAATAAATAATTTCATTTCAAAAAATATAAATAAATAATTTTAAAAAAATTATTTAACAATGTAACAACAAACTTGGTCAAGTATTTTGTATGTCATATCCAGACATTTGAATGAATTGTTACTAGTTAGAAGCAGATTGCCTGTAAAAAAGCTCTTGTCATCAACAATAAAGGTAGTTGTGGGAGTTCTGTGTGGCTTTTTGTTTGTTAACATCACAAATAAGTATCTTTGTATTCCTCAGTATTCCCTTTAATAGAATTGTGACTCAATATAATTTTTTTTGCAGCTTTTTTTTTTAGCTCTTAACTTTGTATCAATTTTTAAAGTTTTCCTCTTTGAAGTGTTAATTTTAATTTATTTTATTATTCATTTTAATATTAAAAAAAAACTTTTATTTATATATTTTTTTATCTCTTGTTTCTTGAGTACTTTTCCTGATTCTCAGGATTAGATAAGCTTATAAGCAGTTGATTTAAAAGCCATTCTTTTGCCAAGAAGTGGCTACAAACATTTTATAAATAAAACATAAAGATACTAATTATATTAAAAAAACAACTACTAATGTGTTAATCAGCAGAAGACTATTAGATTTCATTTTTGTATAAACTTTATTTGATGCTATATGCGATATAGATATAATGATAGTGGTTTGTAAAAAAGAACTAAAGAAATCATTCCTTCAATTAACCCTTAACTTAATTCTGTGACTTTACATTCTACTTCAATAAAAATTGTTTATTTAAAATATATTAAATTTTAAATGAATATATTAAACCTTGTTTATAAGACTATTTAATTCATTAAGTATCTTTAAAATCATACTTTCAATGGTTCCAATAAAAAATGAGCATAAAAAAGACTTTGAAAATGAATTTACCAATTAAGAAATTTGCAATTTACAAAAGCGTTAAGCAGCTCGAAGATTCAATTGCAACCATTAGTATATGTCACATTCTTAAAAATAAGACAGATTTGACAAGAAAATATATATAGTTTATATATATAAAAAATATAAATATAAATATTTATAGTTCTACGTGGAAATAGTCCATGTAGAACTATTTTTTCTAGTAAAATCTAGTACACTGCTAGTACAACCTAAGACACTGCTAGAATAGAACAATGGATTCTATTCTAGCAGTACCAAGAAACTTTTTCTCCTTACAAATGATTATGTTAAGTTAAAAAAAACTTTTTTTTAACTTAACATATTTATTAGTAAGGAAATAATAAACATATTTATTACTTAACATATTTATTTATAAGGAAATAATTAACATATTAATTACTTAACATATTTATTACAAATATGTTAAAATAATAAATCAAATAAAATAGCTTGAAACAGTAAGTATAGTAACATTTTTATCTTTTATTTTGCCATATGAACTTTTTATTTGTTTTATGTTATTATTTGCTATATACTTAAAGGCATACATTTAAAAAAGACAAAACTTACAAGCAATAAAAACTATTTATATACTTCTAAATTAAATTTATTTATTTCTAAACTAATTAAATGATAAACATTGTAAAACAAAAACTGTAAATAATAAGTAAATAAAATAATAAGCAATTAAAAATCAAATATAATAAAAAGGCTTTATTATATTTGATGAAAATGAATTTGAATATTCTATGTAATATATTATTTTGTAATGCAGCAGATTATCTTGCATCCAAATTTTTACTAAGAAATTATTATTACAGATTATCAGCTTCAATATACAAATATAATATACTAACAAATTATTCTAACAAATTATAGATATAATACCAACAAATTAAAATGTAAGATTATCAAAAATTATTACTGTAATTGACATGAGATCAAGTTTTTTTAAGGATGCAACATTTTGATATCCCACTGAAAAAATATTTTCATTAATGGACAACTCAGTTAATGAAATGCATTTTTGAAGACAGGAAAAACTGTTAAATCTAAAAGTAAAATTTTTTTAGTAATTATATAAAAAAAACATTCGCAGAAAGGTATTCTTACTGCCCTTACATTATCAATATCATCATCATTGGGTAAAATTGTCTTTCTGTAATATTTTTCTTTCTATTATATTGAATGTGATGTCAGAATTAAAAGTTACTATGTAGCTGGTAGTATTAATAGATATCTATGATTCTTGAAAAAGATTAAAAACTGTTTATAAAAATGAAGTCTTTAATTTAAATTATTTTTTAATATAATTACCAAACAATTTAACCAAAAAGTTTGCAGGAGATAAAACCAGAACTTAATATTTAATTTATCCATCTATCAATAGAATGAACTATGCGTAAATAAACTAAATGTGTAAAATATGTAAAAATGTTGGTAAACAACTACAAGTACATAGTATTTATGCACCTTTTTTTAAACTATACAGTTTTAAATATATATTCATTATTCTCTCTCTCTTTCTGCACACAACATTAAAAAAAATGAAAAAGTTCAAAACCACACCACCAAAGAAATTCCACTTAGAGCGTTATCCAGCAAAGCCAGATTATCACATCTTCATCTCACCTCACTGAATGAAAGACAAAATCAAGGTAATTTAATCTACAACTTCAAGTTTACTAATAACTTAAAAAATATTTGTTGGCTTAACCCTCAAATTGGCTATCCATATGATGGAATAACTTAAAAACACTTTCAGTTCTTTAATCTGACCATAACAATAATATCTGAACCATCTCTACTAGACATTCTTTTTTCTTTACTAGAATTTCTCTTCTTCTTATTTCTCTACTAGACTTTTCTACTCTACTAGACTCTACTAGACTCCTTACTAGACTCCTCTACTAGACTCCTCTACTAAACTCTTCTTCTTTCTCTACTAGAATTTCTTCCCTAACAGAAATGTCAGCCGATGCAATTTACTCCCATAAACTGTAATTGAAACTCCTCATCTTAATGAGTTTAAAAATCGTATCCACAAACATATGATCGGCACTAGCATTATAATTATCCACCAAAATGCTGCTACAGCTCATTGTCTACTGACAAGGAGCTAAAGCGTTGTTACCCTTCTCAAGTGAGAGAGAGAGAAAAAAAAAAAATTTACTTTGTGCCAAATTTAGCACTTCTAATTAGTTTAGTTGTTAATACTTATATGTTGCAGCTTATCATTATTATGATAACAAGATTTTTCTGAAAATCTTTATAACAAAAATATAAATGATATATACAGGACCAGATTGAGGTTTCTTAATAAGCTATGACAATCCTGTAGTTTAACATCAAAAAACCAAAAAGTTAAAAAAAACAAAAACAAAGCTACTTTTAAAAAAGCCTTTACTCTGCTTCCGAAACCCTTTTAGCAACTGTTGTCCTAGTCAATTGACTGGTCTGCCCAACCCCAAAATACAGTCCTGAATATATAATTTCCTAATACTTATAATCTTCACACTATAACACTGAAAACGCAAACAAAAAAATATGTTGATTTAAAGAGTTATTAGACAAAAAAATTATTAAAAAATTACCTTTTAATACCATTGAAGTTTACATAAAATTTTTGTAGTAATGGTAATAAATCTAGGTCAATCTAAAAAAAAAAATGTTAAGACTAGGAAAAAATTACTGTGCACTTAAAGTAAACTTTATACTTTGTATGCAACATACACTGTCAGAAAATGTTACATAATTATTCATTTGTCAGAAGAAAATTTTACAAAATTATTCATTTGTCAGAAGAAAATGTTACATAATTATTTATTTGTCAGAAAAAAATGTTACATACTTATTCATTTGTCAGAAGAAGCAGTGCTCAAAGTGAGGCAGGATGCCATCCCATCACCTTTTATAAAGTATAAATCATCCTGCTACCTTTTTATAAATCTCTATATATAACAATTAGGTGGGATGGTATTTTTAATATACCATCCTGTTACTTTTTCTCCACTCTGAGGACTGGTTATATGTAATACTTGGCACTCAAGAACGATATTCTGTCACTTTTTGATAAATTACATACAAATATTAATCAATGTGTATGGCATTACTATCAAACATTTACATTGTAAATTGACTAAAAGAAAAGCACTGAAAAAATAAAAATAAACTATATTCTATAAATAATAATAATTTTGATAATAATAATAAAAGAAATAATATTAATAACAACAAAAATAATAATAGTAATAACAATAACATTAACAATAAGTTCTACTTTTTTTCTTTTAAGTCATTATTCAACAACTTTTTTTCTTTCAAATTAAAACTGAAATCCATTTTCATTGAATTAAAAATTTATTACTCAACAACTTAAATCTTTACTTAAGATACTTACTACAGTGTTTATGCAATTTTCATTTAAATTTAACTCTGTCAATGCTTCTAAACCACTAAGATTCTCAACCACTGTTATTCGATTGTTGGCCAGATTTAATACTCTTAACTTTTTTAGGTGATTTAAATTGTTAATTTTTGATATCTAAATATTCAAATACATTTATGTAAACATATATATATATATATATATATATATATATATATATATATATATATATATATATATATATATATATATATATATATATATATATATATATATATATATATATATTAGGGTGGGTCTAAAATAAAATAATCATGTAAATAACATAATTATGTAAATATTAAGAAAATAATAAAAAAATTACTTCACTGTTCAAGGAAATGACCCATTTTTTGGTGCACTAAATGTCACAAAATGTTCTGATTTTGCAACGATAAATGTTAAATATGTAAGGAATTTATGATTTTAAGATTGCTTTGTTTAAAATATATACATTATGTACTGATACAGAAAGTTCACAGCATAATCCTGTTTTGATTCAAAGTGAGGCATGAGAATCCGAGCAAGTATAAAACCATCAATGACAATAAAGTTATAAACTGTACTTGATGCCTTACTGCTTTATGCAGCATTCTACAGATTGTGTGATTGGAATACTTGAGAATGAGTGGTGAGTCAACAAAGTGAGAGATTTGTTGGATTGACAACATCTTGGTAACTGATGGTTCTTGAGTCTCTTCCCGATCACTCATATTGATCCAGTCACTTGCATTTAAATCAATGTTTGGAAAGAAGTTAGCACCAGAAGTTGGTCTATCTAAATGTGCAAACAGATGCTTCAATACCAGTTCATTTGTGTGCAGCATGCAAATAAACCAGCACAGTGGACATCCTAGAGTAAGTAATACTTGACAAATATCCGCTTTTGCAGCTTGTATTGTACATCCAATAGCACAAACTATATCAGTTGCACCTTTGTCTGTAATGACCTGAAAAATACTATTAGCAATTTCAATACCTTTACCAGATATTGGTGTAGTGTAAGATAATCACTACCTGGTTCAACAGCTAAAACATAATGCTCTTCAAGAAAAATGTCACTTCTTTTTCTGTTAAGTTCTTGTTAAGTTGTCTTACCTGCTATCAAAGTAAATACTTGTAATAGTTTCATTTTGTAGACTTTTATCTATTTTTAATTTTTTGCTAAATTTACTTCTTTAACAATGAATTTTGTTCTTGTCAATAACTAATACACCATACCTGTCTGCTTCTTTTGCTAGATTTGGAAGAGGTTGTTGCATTTGACTGTTAGTTGTAGCACTGCAAGTGGATAAGTACTCATCGCTGTTATGTAACTTTTTGTCACATTCAGTAAGTGCAACATCTTCTGAAGCATCAGAAGAATACTGACTTAAATTAGCATCATTACTTGATTTTCAGTTATACTTCAAAGTTATTAACTGCTGTTCAGACTTTTGTCTGAACAGAACTTTGAAGAACAGTTGCAAGATATGCTCAGCTCTTTAGTAGACTCATCACACAAAATTGAACATTTACAAGCTGAAATATCAAACAGGCTGTTTAAGGAGCTGGTAAAAGTAGCAAAAAGACCGGAATTTATTGAGAGCAACACAACATTGACCTAGTTCTCTATTAATACAGTGATTGGTTTAACAATGGACTTTAACTTCTGCAGTATTGTTTGAATTGATGCTTTTTTCCAAATTAGCCACTACTTCTGCAACAACACCATATTCATTTTTAATAGAAGCATTTTTTCTTGTCTTCAATTTGAGAAAATATTGCATAACTTCCATGTTGGTTGGCAGCATATTCTGTGGAAGTTTATTTGGATTGCCAAATACACTCTATCTTGTGATGACTTGCCTCCATATGAAAAAATTTACTTAAATAGTAAAACACTTATAATCTAAAAAAAATAAGATGTTAACATACATTACAAAATAATTTCAAAAAATTGTTTATGTACTTGGTTATACTAGGCTAGGTCAAATAATATCAAAATACAGTAGTACTAACTCCAAAAGTGGGGCATTTTCATTGTACTGAAAAATATTTTGCTCTATGTTTCTGGTTTTAGACATCAATTATATCAAATAAAACCCAAGTTCTGAAAAGATCTGCAATATTTTTATGTATTTATATATACATATATAATTTACCGTCTACCATTACCATGACAACTGTGCTGAAGTAAAGCCACAACTTTTTCAAAATAAAAATTGTGATCATTTCAAATTTTGCATAGGGTTCGACTTTTAAAATGTGACATCATGTCATGTTATCAAGTAGTTTGCAGCACACCAAGTCATTATTCCCTGGTCAAAAACTTATGCTTTAATCCCCTATACAAAGTACTTTCTGTTGAAGAATGTGTAGCTATTATTATTGGGGTGCAATCACTGCCAATGGTCTGGCAGCTGGTTTCTACCTTTTACAACAAAGTAAGACCATCAATTTTGCAAATTGTTTTAAAAATTTGAAGAACAATGTCTAATTGATTTTTGCTTTACCCAATTTAAACCTCATTAAAAACTGTTGGTTAAAATTGAAAGCAGAATTTTCTGATTAAAAACCTAACTAGCAGATCAACAAAAAGCTATAGTAAAAGCATGGTGTCATAAAAAAACACCCAAAAATTATGAGGTACTTGTTGCCTCAATCTGCAAAGAATAGAGGTTGTTCTAAAAGTTTGAGGAGTCCATACAAAGTACTAATATATGTTTTATACTGTGACTTCTTTATTCTTTTATGTTTTTCCATATCTCTTTGGAATGAAAACATATTTCTAGGAATAAATCAGTACACTATACAGTGCAAAAACGGTTTTTTACTTTAAATATTGGGTAGTCAGATTTTTTTAAAAACAACTGTATATATAGAGGCTCAGCGGGAATGGCGAGCTATCAATCGCTCTGTCTGACCACAGTTGTTGTTTTTTGTTGTGAGTTCTCACCCACAGCTTCTTAGATATTTTAAATACACACTATAAGAATTAAAGTTATGGGCAAGTTGCCAAAACAAAAAAGTATAACTGTGGTCTGGCAGAGGGATTAATAGCTCTCTGTTCCCACGGAGGCCTGTATACATATACAATATAAAATATACATAAATATTTATTTTATAAACTATAAATGCGTGTTTAGATAAGCACTCTCAGGGGCTTTTCTAGGAAAATAATTTGGGCGGCAGTGCACCCAATGTGGGCTTTTCCGTAAGGAAATTTGCAGTATGTGGGCATTTTTTTGCAAAAAAAAATAAATATTTGCAATTAAAAAAAAAAAAAAAAAAGACCTCGATTTCTGAATATGGGTGGCGCCCAAATATGCCCATTTGAAATGTGTTAATAACCAATATAAATAAAGTGGTAATCAAACAAATAAACGCTGCATATGAAACATTTATTTCTTTTAACGCCATTATTTAGTAATTTTAATAAATATACACTAAATTCAGGTTTAATATTTTTTAACACTATTTTTTTAGAGCTAAAAAATAATAAACTTAAATTTAGTGTATCTTTATTAAAATTACTAAATAGTAACAATAAAAGAAATAGTTTGAATACTACTTCTAGAAATGTGAAATACTATCAAAAATAAGTATCAAAAATAACTTACAAAAGTTAGAGCATTAAAATTTTTTTTTGAAGCTTAATTTTCAAAAATTCAACACTTCGAGACAGTCGCAACGTTTACAATTTACCACTTTTGAACTAAACAACTTTGTCAGACATAATGCAGTGAACAACATGGAAAAAAAAATTCATTTGTTGTGTGTATTTAGCACATATAGATCTTATTATATGCTGAGTTTCATAATTTTTACTTGAAGTTTTACAAGCATTTTTATATTTTTTTTGT